TAGGTAGCTAAACGCTATCACTTCTGCGATATATGTTAAGAAGCTTGTCGAATATCACTTCCTCTTTCTCATTCCCAACTTTTCTGGATAAACGCAGTTCCCCTTCGCTATACTATCACAGAATGCCATCAAAAATCTACCGATCCACAAATTCAATATAACACATGGGAGCTTTGTCTCCATCTCTGTAACCACATCTCATAATACGCGTATAACCACCATTTCGATCTCTAGAAGCAATCGTAAAAAAGAAAAACAAAAAACTTGTATCGTCCTGCTATTGTATCAAACAACTTCTCCATTGCTTCATCTGTCTTCACAGTCACAGCAGCACGCTGACGTGCATAATCCGTACCTATCTGGAACTCAAAATAAGCACTATTACCCTTTTTCGCCAGTGTGACCATTTGGTCGGCTACACGCCTCACCTCCTTAGCACGCGTAACCGTTGTTCGAATTCTATCATGCTCAATAAGGGAAGTGGTTAAGTTCCTAAATCTTACTTGGAAACGAACGAAAATGTACCTAAGCATGGCAGTTCGGTGGGAAGTTTTTCTTCCCAACTTTCGGAAGATCACACGATGCTTCATCAAGAACAATTAAGAAACAAAAGGGGTAGAAACGTGTATAAACGAATAATATTGGTGGCTGTTGTTGCCGATACATTTGGAAAGTTCATTTTGCGAAACTTGCCTGGTTGTTGGCAATAGAGATGCAGATAATGAACGAAAATGATATGGATTATAGATCTGATGCTATTTACTTCTGGTTCATCCTCTATTTTTGCATTTTTACTATGTGGTACATAATGGAGACAATTGAGGATGTAATATCATTTTCCATAATAATCCTTTTGTCATAATCTCCATGAAAAATCGTAGTAATGGATTTTTTCTAATTCTTTTGACTCATGTTTCTCACAAACATCATATTCAAAAATATAGTATTCAGTAACTTTAGATATATAAAATATCTCAGTTACAAAGATCTCAAGAAACACATCCCACTCAAACATCAAACTGTAACTTTTTCTCCCTTTTTCCTCGCTCGAGTGAAATCATAAACGTCTCTCCCGCCTTCTTTCTCATCGAATACACCGAACATTGTAACCCTTTTTCCTTCAAGAACGCTTCACTGGACACCTCATTATCGAACGTTTTCAACATTCCAACCGCAGACAGTCCAAAACTGCTACCCTCCGACCAAATCAAATAATCGCTGTCTTTCAAAATAAACATATCCAACATGGCTCGATAATAGAAACTCTTCCAAGTTCCCCATATCTCGGTTTTCGATTTAGCGGGGGACGAATGACCGATCGCAAAATCTTTCATTTGATAAATGAAATCGACTCCTGTGGATCTCACGACCTTATAAATCTTTTCCAACACATGACTCGAATCTGTGGAGATGTACAAAAACGTGTTGTTTCGATTCAATCCATGTTTTTTCATGTACAACGCCACTTCGTTCAATGCGACGTTCATCGCATACTCTCCCTGCATCTCTCTCTCGTGGAAATTCGCCAGTTTCCCGCCCATTCGAAGCTGAATTCCGATCATTGTTCGTTCATGCAGCTTCGTCAAATGCCCGTTTATCTTCGTGCACATTTCGAAATCCGGGTTGAGAAGCAATCGGAACATAAGCGACCGAAACTCTGTACCTGCCCAAACGGCTGAAACAGGTCCTGAAACTGTGGGAATCAGTCCGTTGCGTTCTAGAATGGAGCGATAGAACCTCAGATTGATATCGCGATCGGTGATATCGATGTAATAAATGTAGCAAAGCTGAGGTTTTTTCCGGAGGTAAAACAGTGGATACGATGAGAAAAACTTTCGGAGTTCCTGGGCGCCTTTGAAGTCGTAGCAACGCGATAATGGTATTCTACTAGATAGCTTGTCTAGATTAGGGAAGGGGACAAAGAACGATTGAAAAAAGCTGGGAGAAGACTCGACTAGACGTCACGCACTCACCAGGAAAGTACTGTGAAATGAACGATTAGAGACGGCTGCAATATACGCAGTCGTCATGATTCCGTTGATTACGTTGCCCAAACCGGACTCAGCGTGGGGAATGTGGTTGATCGTAAATACTGACTTAGCTCGAAATGAAGCGTCTAAAGATCGAAGATAGGCGTCAAATCGATGCTGCTGCTGTACTCGAGCTTGTTGCGAAATCGTAATATCTGCACTATTCCTCAAACGCCATTTCGAATAATGGAAACTAGATCTTCTGGAGTATTTCCCCTTATTCTTTTTCTCTGCAAAACGATTTTTCACAGAAAGTGAGGATGGAGGCATTTTTGCATGAGAGACATTGGTAGTGAGAGAAGAAGCAAAAGAACTATTAGTAGAAGAAGAAAGCTTGTAAATAGTAGCAGAACAGTTATTTTTCAAACGTGAAGAGAGAGATAATGACTTATTAGGTTTAACACCTCTGAAGGAGATAGTTTTATTCTGAATATTGCTATTCTTGGAATTGCCATACACTTCGTTGGAGAAGTTCTACTATGAAAGGCAAAGAAAGAAATTACACGACTCAAGTAAGTAAAAATACAAATGACGAACAGAAGAGGTATAAAAAACGTTCCTGAAAAGAAAACCATCATACAGAACTATTTACCTAGAGTCAACATTGGAATAATATGTAATACGAGAAGTTAAGTAATAAAAACGAAAACAAAATATTAAAAGTAGATTGTTTTACCATTAAAAGTGTAAATACGATTTAACAGTTCTGTTATTTTGATTCTATCTCTACTATTTCCATCACATTATTAATAATTATCAGTGTTGCTAATATCAACTGTATAGCAGTACGTTTGCAAATAGTCTTTTTCGCTTGCCGCTAACGTGTTTTATTCCATTTGAGGTTTTATTTTATTATTCCACGGATGTGTATTATTGCTGTGCAGAGTGTATTTTGACATACTTGTCAGTAAAATTACACTAGACAATAGATTAGATACTACTAATGAAAAGCCATAGATTCTATCAAAATCATTCATACGGATAATAGTTAAATTGATGCATTACAAAAGAATTAGGTAATTGGCGTCTATTGCGCGAAAACTATGGACCGCCTTTTTCGGCCTTCAGACCCCATCAACTGCATGCCTGCCGTCCAAAGTCGCCTCACAAACCCCATCTTCCATCGCTGGCCGTTGTTCACATAATTTCATAGTCTTCACAAGACTTTAAGGGACCAAAAATTAACCTTAGCTGAAAATCGACGGCGTCTATTGCGCGAAAATTTATTGCCGCCATTTTCGACCATTTTTTACCTGTCAGCTGGGTCGGTCATACTAAACAGCCACTCCACCCTGTGTCTCCATGCAATCCGAGGTACCTCTGACGCCTCTTGTCGGCAGGGATCAAACTATCGCGCAAAACCACGCCAATTACCTATTATTATAGGAGCCTCTGATTCCCCTCCCACACAGTCCAAAGTTAAAAGAAAAACAACATCTCCTTTACAGAGGGGAGCATTCGTGGGGGAGCCACAGGTTCCCCTACATGTTCTTCAATCGGTAATGCGCGAATGCTAGTGTATGCACGTTGTCGTCCAAGATCCATCGCTTGTTGTCTGTGCACGTCATGTGTGTCTTGGTCTGCTCCTTCGTGGTAATATCGAAGGCCTGATTGTTGATGCGCTTGAAGCTTTTTTCAATTAATGCATCTCCTTTTTTCTTCTCTGCCTCAAGGACACGCTTGTACAAATCGATGTTCTTCACGCTCATTCTCTTTCCATCGATCACCACGTTGCGAGGAACATATTTCGTGGCGTTATATACGACATGCTTCTAATCAACCAGACAGTACATCTTCAATTTCAGTCCAACGAATTCTGTGGTGCGATGTCCGTTGTGTTCGTCCTTGAAAATGGGGCCAGGCAACTTCTTGTTGAAGTTGAGGAACGAGTCCAATGAAGGGAACTTGCTCTTGTCCACTTCATTCTCGTAATACTTCACGAGTTCTCCATAGAAGTAGCTTGTGTTGTCCAATTCCGAGAAGTCGAACGATTTGTACATGTCACACATCTTGTGAACGATGTTAGCGCGATCGTGCAACTGCACGATGAGTGAGTCCGTGTCCTGTCCCAACAGCTCCACGTTATCGAATGTCGTCTTGAGCACATTGTAGTAGAAATCGTATATGATGTGTTTGGACATGTCCAGAATGGCGAACCCGATGAAGAATGGCTTCACCACCCTGCGCACGGGTGTATTCAATTTGATGCCGATCAGATTCTCGGAATATATGGTTGTCCCAGCAATCATATCATATCCATGCTTCTGAATGATTGCCTCACGTTCATTCCATGTGTTAGCGAACTTCACTTTCATCCGTTTCAATCCAGTCTCCACAAATTTGCCATAGGTGGAGTTTGCCAACAGCTTATACAGGTTCTTCTCCACAGTGGTCTTGGACTTCGCTCGTTTCTCACTCAGCATATTGACATACTCGAAGATGAACGGTGCCTGCTTGAATCGAATGAGATGGTGAATGTGTGTGACACGATATCCCTGTTGAATGCCCAGTTGCAACAGAGAGTAATGCACGAGATACTTTTGACGAGGTACAAGATCACAGATGAGCTTCGGTGTATTCACCTCTTTCACTTTGTCCACAATGTCGTTCTTCTCAGCGTACTTCTTGATTCCATCGGAGTACATGCCCGCCTTCTGTACGGGGAAGAATGGTAAGTCATTGAACTTGTCGTGTAACTCCACTGGTGTCTCGATGTCACACTCGACGAAGAATCCATACTTGCCGAACGTCTTGAATGATTGCACCCACCCATTTGGATCACGATTGATCTTCTCCATCACTTCTCGTCGTTCAGGTACACCCACCAACTCGTAAGGCATCATTCGATGCATGGCTCCACCGTACAGGTTGTTGGCGTCCAGGTAGTAGATGCCTTGGGACGACGTTACTTGCTCCTTGTTGTCAATGTTGACCTTGGCATGTCGTTTCACGATCTGTGTGATGCCTCCTCGCAGGTTCTTCAATAATCGCATGAAGTCATCGATTTCATTTGTCTCCATCAATCGAATGCCCTTGCTCTCATAGAACTCACCCATGCGATTCAAGAACACTTTCACCAGTTGTTTCTCGGCAAGTCCCTCGTTGGCGTTGATGCGCATGATGTACTGAGCCCATTTCCTTGCGAGGGTCATGAGGCTACTCTCACTATGATCGCCCTCCATTGTCACCTTCAAGAAGAGCGAATAGGCCATTTGTGGTGCTGTGATGTAATGCATTGGATCAACACCGAATGCATTCAGTGTGGTAACTCGGAAGTGTTCGAATGCATCAGCCATGAGAGTCACATCGAGTACATTGTACAATTCGTAGTATTCACCCCATGTCTTGATATCGAAGGTCTTCTACAGCTTCACCATGTCATCATATTCGTCTTGGGACATCATCTCTCCCTTCATATCATCAATGCATTGCTTACGAGAAGGAATGACGGTATTGTTCATCGTCTCGTATGATTTGATGAGACTGTAGAACATGGGTTCCTTCCGTGTCAACAAATCGATGTATTCGTCACTCCATTGCTTACCTCGAGATTCACAGTA